TGGCACACCCACGCCCCCAACACACACACACTTTGTCCTCTGACACACAACCCAAGTGTCTCACCCCCCCAAAACAACCTAAGTTTGGCACACACACACACCAACACACTTGTGTCCCCACACACAACCCAAGTGTCTCGCACAGCCACACCCCCCAACATACACTTTTTGTCATCCTGCCTACACACACACAACCTAAGTGTCTGGCGCGCACACTCCCAACACACACTCATTTTTTGTTTCCCCCCCACACACACAAAACCCAAGTGTCTTGCAGACCCACAGCACACACCCCCAAAGCACACAACCTAAGTGTCTGGTACACCCTCCAACACACTTACTTTTTGTGGCCCCCCCACCACAATCCATCTCCCACACCCGGCCCCCAGCACACACTTACTTTTTGTTCGCTGTGTTCCAGTACACCGGCTCCAGGCTCACAGCAGCTGCAACCCACGCTTCCAGTGCCGACACCAGCAGCCCCGCACACCACGGCCACGAGCCCATGACACCTCCGGGGGGACACGAAAAGCCGTGAGTGTCGCACAAATCCTGCCCCCCCCCACTTTCTCCTGCTTTTTGAGTGTGTGCGCGTCCCCCCCCCCAAATCCAGGGGTAACACAACAAGGCACAGGTAACACAACAGTGTCGGGTGGTCAAGCAGAGGCCTACACAAACTTCACACAACAGGGATGTGTTTTTTGGGGGGGGCTTTGGGGGAGCAGTGAAGGACCCCATGAGGGGGTGGTTGGGACCCCCCCATGTCTATGGGGTGGAGGGGGGGTGCAGGAGGCAGGTCCTGGAGGGGGGGTTGGTGTGGGTGTGTATGGGGAGGTGTGTGTCCAGGCCTAGGTTGTGTGTGTGTGTGTGTGTGTGTGTGTGAGAGAGAGAGAGAAAAAGACAGAGAGAGAGACAAGGGGCAAATGGGAAAAAGCGGAGAGAGGAGGAGGGACAAGGCAGGAGGAGAGGAAGGAAGACACGGAGGTGGGAACAGAGCAGGGAATGGGCACGCGCGCGTGCACAGGGACCCAGGCATCTGGGACACACTCGTGCGTGCATGTGCGCGCGCGCGCGCACACACACACAGAGGATCCAGGCATCTGACTTGCATAGATACACACAGGACCCAGGTGTCTGGGGTACACACACACACACACACACACACACACACACACACACACACACACACACACACACACCCCCCTACACAACCCAGGCATCTCACAAAGATGTACATACTCACACACACACACACACACACACAGGATCCAGGCATCTGACACATGCACATGGGACCCAGGCATCCGGGACATGGACATGGACACACATACACACACCCCCTCCCCGAGGATCCAGGCATCTGACATGCATACAGACTCACACAAACACGTGCATGATCCAGGCATCTGAGAGACATACAGGACCCAGGCATCCGGGATACACACACACCCCCCATGTATCTCATAGGCACACAACCCAGGTATCTGGGATGGATGGACATGCACAACACAGGTATGTCTCACACAGACATGCACCCCCAGGTGTCTGGGGCACACACAGAGGATCCAGGCATCCCCCGCCCCCGCACAGGACCCAGACATCTAGGACACACACAATCTAGGTCTCTCTCTCTCACCCCCCACCACCCGAGGATCCAGGCATCTGACACACATACAAACACACACAGGATCCAGACATCTGGGACACACACAAACACAAGACATCTCACACACGTGAGATAGGACACACACACATGCAGGCACAACCCAGGCATGCCACACACACACGACCCAGTCATCCAGGGGACACAACCCAAGCATCTCTCTCTCACACACACAACCCAGGTGTCTGGGGGACACAGTCCAGGTGGCTCTCACACATACACATGCACACACTCACCTCCCCAGGTGTCCAGCACGCACAGACACACACAGAGGACCTCATTGTCTAACACACACAGAAACAGGCAGAGGACTCAGGCGTCCCATACACAACTTGGGCATTCCCACCCCCTCCTTCAACACACACCGCAGGTGACCCAAACAGACACACAGATGCACACAACCCAGGCTTGGACACCCCCCCCCTACCCCTTGGCCAGTGAAGTGGGCACCAGTGATTCCCACCCACAGCACCCGACTGGGGGCCAGGATGCCTGGGCTCCCCCCAGCTCTGGGGGGGGTCTAGTGGGCTGTAGCGAGGGGGGGCCTGGGCCCTCCTGGTTCTCCCCCCCCGCAGGGGCAGGGGGGGGAGAGGG